TACGCCCAGCAGCAGTTCCACCCCCACTAACAGCCACTCCCCATTCCCTCACCCTCAGCCCCTGACGTCCATTCATCTGCTTTCTGCCTCTATGGACTTGCCAATTCTAGAGGTTTCATTTATTTTTTTATTAAAGTATTGCTGATCTACAACATTGTGCTCATTTCTGCCATACAGCCAATTGATTCGGTTATACACATATACACATTCTTATTTTATATTCTTTTCCATTACGGTGTATCCCAGAAGACTGAATACAGTTCCCTGTGCTATACAGTAGGATCTTATTGTTTATCCATTTTATATATACTAGTTTGCATCTGCTAACCCCAAACTCCCACTCCATTCCTCACCCCCTCCCTTGCTTCCCCTTGGCCACCACAAGTCTGTTTTTTATGTCTGTAAGTCTCTTTCTATGTTGTAGATGGGTTCATTTGTGCCATATTTTAGGTTCCATATATAAGTGATATCACATGGTATTTGTCTTTATGATTTACTTCACTCAGTATGATAATCTCTAATTGCGTCCATTTTGCTGCAAAGAACAGTTTTTCTTTTTCATGACTGAGTAGTATTCCACTGTATATATGTTCCACCTTTTCCTTATCTCTTCCTCTGTCCGTGGGCATTTCCATGTCTTGGCTATTGTACACAGTGCTGCTATGAATACAGAGGTGCATGTATCTTTTTGAATTACAGCTTTTGGGTGGGTATATGCCCAGGAGTGAGATTACTGGATCATATGGCAACTCTTGTTTTTAGTTTTTTAGAAACTCCCTCCTCTACTTAGAAAACCCTAAAGACTCTACCAGAAAATTACTAGAGCTAATCAATGAATATAGTAAAGTTGCAGGATATAAAATTAACACACAGAAATCCCTTGCATTCCTATACACTAACAATGAGAAAACAGAAAGAGAAATTAAGGAAAAATACCATTCACCATTGCAACAAAAAGAATAAAATACTTAGGAGTATATCTACCTAAAGAAACAAAAGACCTATACATAGAAAACTATAAAACACTGATGAAAGAAATCAAAGAGGACACAAACAGATGGAGAAATATACCGTGTTGATGGATTGGGAGAACCAATATTGTGAAAATGAGTATACTAACCAAAGCAATCTATAGATTCAATGCAATCCCTATCAAGCTACCAATGATATTCTTCACAGAACTAGAACAAATAATTTCACAATTTGTATGGAAATACAAAAAACTTCGAATAGCCAAAGTAATCTTGAGAAAGAAGAATGGAACTGGAGGAAACAACCTGCCTGACTTCAGACTCTACTACAAAGCCACAGTCATCAAGACAGTATGGTACTGGCACAAAGACAGAAATATAGATCAATGGAACAGAATAGAAAGCCCAGAGATAAATCCACGAACCTATGGTCACCTTATCTTTGACAAAGGAGGCAAGAATATACAATGGAAAAAAGACAACCTCTTTAACAAGTGGTGCTGGGAAAACTGGTCAACCACTTGTAAAAGAATGAAATTAGAACACTTTCTAACACCATACACAAAAATAAACTCAAAATGGATTAAAGATCTAAATGTAGGAACAGAAACTACAAAACTCCTAGAGGAGAACATAGGCAAAACACTCCGACATAAATCACAGCAGGATCCTCTATGACCCACCTCCAAGAATACTGGAAATAAAAGCAAAAATAAACAAATGGGACCAATTAAACTTAAAAGCTTTTGCACAACAAAGGAAACTACAAGCAAGGTGAAAAGACAGCCTTTAGAATGGGAGAAAATAATAGCAAACGAAGCAAGACAAAGGATTAATCTCAAAAATATACAAGCAACTCCTCCAGCTCAATTCCAGAAAAACAAATGACCCAATCAAAAAATGGGCCAAAGAACTAAACAGACATTTCTCCAAAGAAGACATACAGATGGCTAACAAATACATGAAAAGATGCTCAACATCACTCATTATCAGAGAAATGAAAATCAAAACCACAATGAGGTACCATTACACGCCAGTCAGGATGGCTGCTATCCAAAAGTCTACAAGCAATAAATGCTGGAGAGGGTGTGGAGAAAAGGGAACCCTCTTACACTGTTGGTGGGAATGCAAACTAGCACAGCCACTATGGAGAACAGTGTGGAGATTCCTTAAAAAACTGGAAATAGAAGTGCCATATGACCCAGCAATCCCACTCCTGGGCATACACACCGAGGAAACCAGAACTGAAAGAGACACGTGTACCCCAGTGTTCATCACAGCACTGTTTATAATAGCCAGGACATGGAAGCAACCTAGATGCCCATCAGCAGACAAATGGAAAAGGAAGCTATGGTACATATACACAATGGAATATTACTCAGCCATTAAAAAGAATACATTTGAATCAGTTCTAATGAGATGGATAAAACTGGAGCCCATTATACAGAGTGAAGTAAGCCAGAAAGATAAAGACCAATACAGTACACTAATGCATATATATGGAATTTAGAAAGATGGTAACGATAACCCTATATGCAAGACAGAAAAAGAGACACAGATGTATGTAACAGACTTTTGGACTCTATAGGAGAAGGCGAGGGTGGGATGAACTGAGAGAATAGCACCGAAACATGTATATTATCAAGTGTGAAACAGATCACCACTCCAGGTTGGATGCATGAGACAAGTGATCAGGGCTGGTGCACTTGGATGACCCAGAGGGATGGGATGGGGAGGGATGTGGGAGGGGAGTTCAGGATGGGGAACACATGTAAATCCACGGCTGATTCATGTCAATGTATGGCAAAAACCACTACAATATTGTAAAGTAATTAGCCTCCAACTATTAAAAATAAATGAAAAAAAAAGCAGCAGTATTTAGCTGATTCTGTTATTTAGGTACCAAGGCTAAATTTGTTGGGCTTCCGAACAAATTGGGCTTACAAGCACACTCTCTGAATGGAACTTGTTCATACGCAGGAGACTTCCTATAGGAGAGAAGTCTGCAACTCAGAAAAGGGCCTAATCTGGCCATACTGTTCCCCTGATATTGTATCTCTAGCCTCCAGAACTGTGAGAAGTAAATTTCTGTTGTTCACAAGCAAAAAAAAAAAAAAAAGAAGAAGAAGAAGAAGAAACTCCCTACTGTTTTCCATAGTGGCTACACCAACTTAGGTTCCCACCAACAGTGTAGGAGGATTCCCTTTCCCCACGCCCTTCCCGGTATTTGTTATTTGTAGACTTTTTAATGATGGCCATTCTGACCGGTGTGGTGGTTCCTCACTGTACTTTCAATTTGCGTCTCTCTCATAACTGAGGCTGCCGAGCATCTTTTCATGTGCCTACTGGCCATCTGTGTGTCTTCTTCAGAGACACAGATATTTCATTTAAATGGAACCATAGGATACATGGCCTTTTGTGTCTGGTTTCTTTCACTCAGGTAACATTTCCAGGGTTCATCCATGTTATAGCACCTGGCAGCGTTTCAGTCATTTTCATGGTTGAGTAATACTCCACTGTGTGGATGAACAATATTTTGTTTGTCCCTTCACATACTGATTGGCGTGTAGTAGAATTTTTACATAATGTTCTCATTCACTCATTTTTATAGATTGAGATTATATACTCATTTTAGAGATTTTATAGAAAAGAAGCAAAGTTCTGGGAGAATAGACCACTGGTCCAAAGACACAAACTGTAAGGGGCAGAGTCAGGGGTGGAACCCAAGTCTTCCTGTCCAGGTGATGCCCAAATAGTTGTATAAAGAAGGACAAACCTCATACCCCGTGCTACTTACAGGTAGATCTGACCCGGTAGGGATCAGCGGCTCTTCCTGGTTTCCTGTAGACAGACGACACCCCAGGCTGCTCCCTCGTCCCCGTCAGCAGAGTGCCTACCAGCTGGGCTGAGTTCCCAGCCCTCTGTCTGCTCGTCCTCACTTCTGTGCCTGGATCCAGAGGCTGCAGTGTCCCCTACCTCCAGTGACACGCTGTCCATAGAGCCCATGGCCTTGCCCAGAAGAGGGAGGAAACTTCCTCCCCATGGCCTGGCCTCTACTTGGCCCTGCCACCTCCCCAGGCCTCCTCCCCTCTCCCCTCCTCACTCACCAAGTTCTGGACACCTACACGATCCTCTGCAGACACTTCCCTCTGAGAGTTGTATCTGTTGGATTGATATTAGTTACAGATCATAGAAAACCTGTGCCCACAGATCTATCAGAATAAAATGCTGGTTCAGAGGCTCTTCTCCCCCCAGATCCTCTCAGCAGACAAATCTGGGATCAGGCAGACCTGGGATAAAACACTCTCTCATCTATGACCTGATCTTGCTCCACTTCATCCCACTTCCCATGTCCAGCATCTTCTCCTCCCGAAAGACGAAAACCCTTCCTGCTAGACCTCAGAAATGCCTGCAGGCTGATTCTCAGAGGCCCCTGACTGCAGTGGTCGCTTGCTGTTCCCCTGCCCAGAATCCTCTCGAATAACACCTCTCCTTACAAGATCCAGGTGTCTTTCTTATTAGATGCTCATCTAAAACTCCTGTGTCACTTGGATGAAGAGCGTTGCTTAAGAACTAGCTCTGCTTCTCATCCTCCTCATCTGCTAGGTGAGTGGTGCACACAGGACACCTCCTATGGACTGGTTCAGAGCCCAGGACACGGAAACGGTTGCACAAACAAGATCCGTGAGGCCGTGGCCTCCTTCATCCACATCCAAATGCACACAGGGGCCCTGGGTGTGCAGTCACATTGCTACGCTGGACCCACAGGCTGATTTCTGCATTTAAATCACTGCTGAGGGTAAACGCGATGGCTGTGCCAGGAGGGGGTCCGAGTCTGAGGCTAAGATGAGGATCTGATGATGAAGCACATCGCTGGCACAGCCGCGCTGGGCACGGGCCCACGGCACCCGCGGCCTGGCCTGGAGCCCGCAGGTCTGCACATCAGTGGGGGCGTCCAGAGCTGTCAGGAGCCGGGCAGCATCTTCCAACACCACTCAGCAGCCTGAGCAGCCCCTGCCAGCTGGCCAGATGCCACGGGAGGGGCCTCAGCAGGCAGGAGCTGGGGAACCAGATGGCTCCGGTGACTTGGAGGAGCAAGGGTGTGAACTGGAAGTGGTGGCGGGAAGAGGGGGTGCCCAGGAGGAAGCAGGTACAGCAGTGGCAGAGATGAGCAGGAGGGACGGGCTACAATTTCCATGAGGCTGCTGGTTTATAGGTAACCATCTGACACACCCCCAGCTTTGATCCCAGATGAGGCCTTTATCCTGGACAACACAGTGATAGACTGCTTCCAGGTGAAATTGTCATGGACAAAGGTGTGTTTTCCTTTTTGCTAAGTCCTTAATGTTCTCACCTTTTTAAAAATGAAAATTTCATTTTCATGCTAAAAATCATCCCAACACACATGTATGTGTCATACTCTCTATGCATTTCAGTTTGTGGTTTCTTTCCTGAACTAAAGGAAAAGTAAAGGAAGAAAGAATATGGGGTTTAAAGGTGACTATCATGTATGCAGTCCATGTGGTTTTCCGGCTTTTATTTTACCAGATGTTTGTCTCTTTTTAAAAGCTCCCAGGTGACTGAACTTTGGCCCAAAGAGGCAAATAGGAAATAATAGCAGTAATTTCTAAATGTGGCACAATTTAAGCAAAATGGAAAGGTAAGAAGGAAAAGGGTTAAAAACTAAGAAACTCCTGTCATTCAGAGTATGAGATGTCCAACATTTTCTGCCCATATTCCCATGTGGAAACAAATATGGACCTCTACTGAGAAGTGTATTGACTGCCTAGTTTAATTCATTGATAGGAATATTTATTGAACGTCTAGCATGCTTTGGGAACACACTTCAGAGAGACAGAGTCCCCACAGCATGATAGACATCAACAATTAGGCCCCCAACCTGTGCCAAGGAATGAATTAAAATTGCACTCAAAGAGTGATTTTAGAAAACTGCACCACAAGACCCAATGGAATGAACCCAAAGACCCATGCAATCTCAGCCCACAGATTAGATCAACTCTTCAACCTAATACATACTGAGAGAAGGAGGGACATGCCATAGTGATTATTAGACATCTTATATTCCTATCAGGCTTTGCTGCCAATCCAGACTTGGCTCTTAGATCCTAGCCTGGTACAGGCCATCAATCCTGTCTGGAACTTACACCAGATCCCTAATCACCTTGCCTGTTGGGTTCACAGTACAACCAGGCAACCCCTTAATTCATCAATCATGTCATGGCACTCACGGGGGAGGGGGGGGTTCCGCCCATACAACAGAACCGGCAGTGGTAATCAGGGTGACCTAAAAGGCCCAACTACACCACTTCCTCCCATACCCTTCTCTCCACCTCCCAGCCTCACTGGCCTTCTCATTCTTCCAAGACATCAAGTTTGTCCTGCTAGCTGGGAGCCCATGGAACATTCTAGAACACTCTGGAACACTCTCTCCCAGGACGCTACTCCCTATTCAGAGCTTCCCATCTAAGAAGCTTCATCCGGCCCATGCAGGCCACGCTCCCTCAAGTCCCTGTCTTCATAGCACCTGTCACCACCTGGACCAATCCCGAGTCTGGCCCCAGGAGGAGCCTGGGGCACCCTTAGGGGAAAGACAACGCATGTTCCTCCTGCAGAGTGGCCGAGTGTCTGAGAAACCACGGCCTCGGCTGGAAACTCCAGAGGAAGACAAAAAAAAAGTCTGCGTTTTTCCTTCCGGAAGGATGTGCTCTCCCAGGTCAGGAGTGCAGGGGCGGGGCCACCTCTGCTAAGCCTCACAGCTCCTTAGGAGATGCCATGAAGAATGCCATGGCCCACGGGGAAGCGCGTCACAGGGATGACTCTCTCCCGAATGGGATGCTCTGGAAATCACACGCCCCCCGCCCCCCCCCCCCCCCGACGGAGGAGAAGACAATTAGCAGGGGTGTGTTTGTTATGGGGGGGAGAGGAGAGGGGAGGTGTAAATGGACTTTTCTTCCCTCAGGAGGTCAGCTCTTCAGACTCTCCGCCGCCTCCTCTCCACGGGAGGGCAGATTAAGTATAAAAGGAGAGGTCGACAGCGCCCCCTGGAGGCAGGGCCCACGCGGCCGTGGCATCCTTGCTTTCTCAGTTAACTCCACACCGGTCCGTGATTCTCAGTCTGTAGACGAGGTAACTGACTGAGCAGGCTTCCCACGGAGATGCTGGAGACGTGAAGGGAAGCGGGCTCCAGGCTTCCACGGCTTCCACGCGCAGAGCGGCCGCCCCCAAGCGGAGCCCCTGCATCTTTCCCTCGGACCTGCCTCCCATCCACCCTTCGCTAAAAGGCCAGGAAGCGGGCAGCTGCCCCAGGCTCCTTTTGTTTACGAAGCTGTGCTCTGTGGGACCCACCCCAGCTCTCTGGAGAGAAAAACAACACAGCCGGTGCCGCACAGACGTGGCAGAAAATGATTTTAAGTAGCAGTTAGCTGGAAATTAAAGGCTCCTGAATGGCGTGAACGGTGCTTCGTGCACTGTGACCCCGCGGGTGGCTGCAGGCGAGTCTGGGACGCCGCCGATAAAGGCTTCCTGGGTGAGCGGGAGCTTGTCATTATCTGAGAGACGTGGTCTGTGGGCGCCTCGAGGGGTCCAGGAGGTCGGTACTGGATACTGCCACGATGCCAAAGGAGGCTCTATTTGTTTATGACTGCCCCGAACGAAGCAAGCCTGCCACTTAGCAGACTATCCACCAGCTAGAGGGGGGTTCGATGGGCTGTTGGCTGGGCTGATGATGGATGGCTCGATTTGCCAGCAAAGGCAGCTTCTGTGGAGGATCCTCCAGACTGGGAAACAAGAGGAGTAGTTTTTATTCCTGCCTCTGGAAGAAACCCTCAGGGTTCCCAGGACAGCGGAGTAAATAATCAAGTTCGTAGCTGGAAGCCTTACATCCATGGCCCTGTGGGAAGGTGGAAAGGGAGAGAGACAGAATGCCCGACCAAGGGCAATTTGGACAACACTCTTGCCTGGACCTGAGCAGTCCAAGTCCCGCGGGACCCATGCAGGTCCAGCTCGCACCTGCTACACAAACCCACATCTTCTTGGAGTGTCCTTTCTAAGCCATTTCCCGCCTGCTCCCTTGCCTCCTGCTGCTGGTTTATAATGGAGCCTCTTCATTACCTGGTGTTAAGCAGCGAAGAGTGAAGAATGATTTGATGAGTTCTTCGTTCTTTTTTAAAAATTTATTAAATTGTCATTAAAAACCATTAAAGACTCCCCGTCCTGATGCACAGAAATAAATCTCACCAAGACCCTGGAGGTCTCCTTCCAGGTGCGGTCCCCCTTCCCAAGGGCAGCCCTCTCTCCTCTCGTGATCCCAGCCCCACCCGTTCCCCATCTTGCCCCAGGACAGCCAAGCATGAGGTTCTAGAAAGGGGTTGCTCAAGCGTCAAGCCATGACCGATCAGATTGTGGAGTCAATTAAGTAAGTAGGTCTTCACACCATTTTTTAAAATAGAATGGGATAGGATGGGGTGAAACTGAAGATAAATACTGACAAGTGAGGAACTGTTATCTTCTCCATTTTATAGACAAGGAAACTGAGAGGGAGGCTCACTCCATGAGCACATAGCTAAGACATGACTTACACAGGGAACTGTCCCCCATTACCTTCAGGCTGGCCCCCATATTTTTATTATAACCCTTCTCTGAAACACTTCTGACTGCCCTTCTCCCTGTGAGCCTCATGTGATATGACTCTATACAGCAATCATCATGTAGCAAGTTGAATGAATGAATGAATGAATGAAATGTGAAGAAACATGCAGAGGGTTATCTCTGGACTTGTCTTTCCACTTCATCTTGAAGCTCTGATCTTAAAACAATCAGCAATGACAGAAGCTTGCATCCTGAAGGGACTCAGGTAATTATACCTTTTCATCCACACCTGAGAGGGCAGCTTAAAGATGAAATCACCCAAGAATAACACCTTTTAAAAATGCCCTTCCTAGAACTTTCTTTTTTAACTCTTTATTTTATATTGGAACATAGCTGAGTAATAATGCTGTGCTAGGTACAGCAAAGGGACTCAGCCATGCATACACATGTATCCATTCTTCTCTAAATTCTCCTCCCATCTAGGCTGCCACATAAAATTGATCAGTTCCCTGTGCTATACAGTAGGTCCTTGTTGGTTATCCATTTTAAATATAGCAGTGTGTACATGTCGATCCCAAACTCCCTTCCCCTCATAGTTCCCCCAGGTAACCAAAAAGAATTTTGTTTTTAAAGATAATTTAGGCAATCAGGAAAAGTCTGAGTACACACACACACACACACACACACACACACATCCAATTCTAGCATAATGACAGCCTAGGAAAGAATCACCCCAGTGAAATTAGGTCAACCACAAACAATGATAGCTATTTATCATATGTGTTTTCCTTTAAAAATAGGGAACCTCAACACCAATGAAACTCAAGGACTATGTGAAGAATCTCACTCATAAGTCAACGACGAGAGAGTCTCAGGGACCAGATAATACATGTGCACTGAGGAGAGCAGGTGTTTTGAAGATCACTGGTCTACCTAGTATGCACTTACAGAACTTTCTTTTTCACAGAACTCAAGTTTTATTGGAGGTGGTCACACCCCAGGGAAATACTATTATTTCCCAGCTTCTGGTACAGTTTGGAGTGGGTCCCTGGCCAATGAAATATAAGCAGAAGTCACTGAATGGTGCCCCCAAGAGCATGCATTAAAGAGGGATGCTTTCACTATCACTCACTTTTTCTCACCCTGCATCCATTTCCCCTTCTTCCTGTCTGGAATGCAGATGTACTGGCTGGAGCTCCAGCTGCCATCGTGAGAGCATCAAGATGAGGGTCACTGTCATCAGGACAATGGCGCAGCAACCTAGGACCCTGGGTCCCCAGTGATTCTGTAACCAACCCCCTCGGAAGCTCCGGACTTCCTACAACTGAAATTTTTAGGCCACAGGAATACAAAGCCTTATCTTGTTTGAGGCACTGCATTTTCTTTAACATGCAGCTGAGCATAATCCTGAATGATGGATCTAGGACACCCATGCACCAGAGGGCTGTTCCATGCCACACAGACTATAATCCTCAAGCAAGATTCTCCTCCAGAAGAGCAACCTGGATGCCCACTGACCAGATGAGGAAGCCAGAATTCCTGACTCAGCTCTCTCCCATCGTTCAGCCAGTTACCACATGCACCAAGTCGGCCTCCTGTAACTCTCCAATCCATTCACTTCCCTCCATCCCACGACCCTCATCCAGGCCACCAATGTCTCTCTCCTGCATCACAAAAACTGCCTGCTCACTGGTCTTTCTTCTAGCCAAAAAGTGAAAGTCAAAGTCGCTCAGTTGTGTCCAACTCTTTGCAACCCCATGGACTGGAGCCCACCAGGCTCCTCTCCAGGCAAGAATACTGGAGTGAGTGGCTGTTCCCTTCTCCAGGGGGTCTTCCCAACCCATGGATGGAACGCAGGTCTCCCACACTGCAGGCGGATTCTTTACTATCTGAGCCACCAGGGAAGCTTCCTCTAGCCAAGGCTTCCTTTAACTCTTATTCCACTGAGGAGGCAGAACCATCTTTGGAAAATGGACATCGGATTGTGTCATCCTTTTACTTAAAGGACTTCAGAAGCTGCCCCTTACCTTAAGGATAAAGTCCACGGTCCTGACTGTGGCTTGCAATCCAGTCCTGCCTCATTTCCAGGGTTTTCCTCATCATGTGGGTTTTCCAGCCTCCTCTTGTACTGGTCCCTCTGCCTGGGACCCGCTACCCCTCTTCTCCCTGGTAGTGAACCCTACACACCCCTCACATCTCTGCACCAACGTCACTGCCTCATTGTGACCTTGATGATTCTCTGGATAGTTCCCACAGCCGCAACCCCCACTGTCACTGGTTGTCCCATAGGAGATAATGAGGGATGACAAAGAGGGTGGGGTGAGACCTAGGACAGCCCTGGAGAGAAGTTACAAGAAAAGGAAGAAACCATGTTGAATGTAGGCACAGTGTAATTTCTTGTTCTTGGCGCTGTTCCCAGATTGTCGAAGATGTTTGACCAACACTGACCAAAGGAATCAGCAAATACAACTTGGTGATGGAGTCGGGAAATTCTGTCCAGGCCAGAATGAGGTTGAACAACAAATCCAACCAGAGGTACTCCCGTCACAATGCAAATGCCGTGATCCCAACAGAGCCCTTCTTTTCCATGAAGCCTGGGGCTCCCTTTCAGCACAGAAATGGGGAGCAGCCCTGCCTTCAGTTCATTGTTTGAAGCATCCTTTTTAAATAATGCAAGGTCTACAAGATCTAACTTCCTATCCCCTCCTTAAGCCTCCCCTGATCCCTCCAGGACTGTGGGTCTCCCTACTTCCTGCCTCTGAGAGTATTTCTTTGCTGACTCTGTCCCTGTTCTGCAGGATCCCCACCATGTGAGCTCGGAGGACCTTCGCTTTATCTCCAAGTGAGTAATACATTGTCTCTGAGTGATGCAGAAAATGGAAAGGCAGTGCTTGTCATGCAACCTTGTAAAATGTACCACATTCAAAACAAACCACTTGAAAACTCCCACCCACAGCTGACTGAACCAGGAAGAAATCAACTCAGTTTCTGTTTCATGAGCTTTAACTATAACATCGAATCTGTCATACACCATAAGCACATATGCTGAGAAGTCACGATGTAGTATCAGGGATGGGGGCCATCATGAAACCTCAAGTAGAAAAGCAGAGATAAGAAGGACTATTTATTCCCTGTAAATGTGTGCAGCTGCTGTGGAGAACAGTATGGAGGTTCCTCAAAAAACTGAAAACAGAGTTACCATATGTTCCAGCAATCCCACTCCTGGGCATATATCTGGGCAAAACTATAATTCAGAAAGATACATGTACCCTTGTATTCATAGCAGCATTATTCATGATAGCCAAGAGATGGAAGCAACCCAAATGTCCATCAACAGATGAATGGATAGAGAAGATGTGGTACACATATACAATGGAATATCACTCAGCCATAAACAACGAAATAACGGCATTTGTAGCAAAATGAATGTAACCAGAGATTATCATACTAAGTGAAGTAAGTCAGATAGACAAAGACAAACATCATATGATATCATTTATATGTGGAATCTAAACTAGGACATAAATGAATTTATCCATTAAGCAGAAACAGACTCACAGACATGGAGGACAGGCTGTGGTTGCCAAGGGGGAGGAGAATGGGTGGACGGATGGATTGGGAGTTTGGGATTAGCAGATGCAAACTATTATACACATAAAATGGAAAAACAACAAGGTTCTACAGTATAGCGCAGGCACTGTATTCAATATCCTGTGATAAACTAGAAAAGAATATATATATATATATATATATATATATATATATATATATATATATAATTGAAGGCTTCCCAGGTGGCACTAGTGGAAAAAAAAGAAAAAAAAAAACCTGCCTGCCAGTGCAGGAGATGCAAGAGACACAAGTTCAATCCCTGGATTGGGAAGATCACCTGGAGGAGGGAATGGCAACCCACTCCAGTGTTCTTGCCTGGAGAATCCCATGGACAGAGGAGCCTGGCAGGCTACAGTCCATAGGGTCACACAGAGTCAGACATGACTAAAGCAATTTAGCACACACATGTAAGACTGAATCACTTTGCCGTATAGCAGAAACTAACACAACATTGTAAATCAACTATACTTCAATAAAATAAATTTAAAAAATAAAAGAAAGATTGTTCCCTCCCCCCTATGAATCAGAAAAGAAACCCTGAATTCTGACTTTCCAGTTACCATTCCCTTAAGCCCTCTTCATCTTTGATTACGGTGTGAGACCATGGAAGCAATGGGCAAACGTCCGCTGGTCAAGCTACCTAGAGATGAGCGAGACGGTCTGGGTTCACAGAAGGTGTTTCACATCCTAAGGGCAGTTGGTGCTTCTTTTGTGGCCCCCTGGTAAAAAGGCACATTCTGGCTAGAAAAACTGGACTCATTCTGTCACTCACCTAACCATCTCTGAGTGCCCACCACATGCCAGCATTCCCTGTGCTGGGATGTGATGAGCAGGCAAGACAGCCCCATCCTCCTGCAGCCTATGTTATAACTGGGGAAGCAGAAAAGCCAGTAAGGCTATAAATGTAACTGTAAAGAAGCTGATGCTAAAGAAAATCATGTCACCTCTTCTGAAGATGACATCAAAAGTGCAGATTCCGTGGCCCAGTAGCAGACCTGGCTGAACTTATGGTAAAACTCCCCGCCTATATCTCAATAAGGAAAACAGCATCAGAGAACCTCCAAGGTCCAGGGGAAAGTGCATCCTAGGTTTCCCAGGAGAAGGATCTGACAAAGCATCAGCCAACTGCATGGCAAGTGGCCGCATCCGGGGCCCCAGCACAGAGGAGTAAAGAAATGATGCCCCTAAGACTCTTCCCAGATTCCCATCTTTGTGCTTCTGTCACTTTTTAAAATGTCTTCACCCAGGAGAGTTTTCTGAACTAAAAGTTACCAAAGGAGCTTATGATGGTTCTATAGGTTTCTGGAGAAGACTCTTGAGAGTCCCTTGGAAAGCAAGGAGATCGAACCAGTCAATCCTAAAGGAAATCAACCCTGAATATTCATTTGAAGGACTGATGCCAAAGCTCCAGTACTTTGGCCATCTGATGGGAAAAGCCGACTCATTGGAAAAGACCCTGATGCTAGGAAAGACTGAGGGCAAGAGGAGAAGGGGACAACAAGATGAGATGGTTGGATGGCATCACTGACTCAGTGGGTGTGGGTTTAGCTAGTGAAGGATCAGGAAGCCTAGTGTGCTGCAGTTCATGGGGTTGCAAAAGCACTGAACACAATTTATCAACTGAACAACAACAGATAGGTTTCTAACTAGAGTTGCAATTTAAAAAAAAAATCCAAAGCCCCTTTCACACACCAGTTCTTTTCCAAGGCTTTCTCTGCCCGGAGCTCCCCTATCTCTGTGCACTGACCCTCAGATATCACATCCCATTCTTCTGTTGGTAGCAAACTCCCTTCCACACCTGAGCATCTCCAAAGAGCAGAGACCTGCACTACTCCATTTGGGAGGCATTTGCTTTTGGTTTTAAACAGTAGCTGTACTCAGTCACTCAGTTGTGTCTGACTGTGCAACCGACCCCATGGACTATAGCCCACCAGGCTCCTCTGTCCATAGAATTTTCCAGGCAAGAATACTGGAGTGGGTTGCCACTTCCTACTCCAGGGGATCTTCCCGACCCAGGGATCAAACCAGCATCTCTTGCATCTCCTGCACTGGCAGACAGATTCTGTACCACTAGCACAACCTTTGGTTTTAAAGAATAGATTTCCTGTTTCTGAGTGTGAGGTGTGAAGAACATTTCCCTGTTCGTCTCTACACCTCATGTGATGACGAAACCCTCCTTCCATCCCTCAGCTCTGCCACCCATGCAGCTGACAGCTCCCTCCTGAGTTGCTGCTCAGAAGCTGTGGATGGTAACATCCACAGCTCTGGTTCTAAAGCTAAATTAGCTGGAGGATCCGGGGTTGGCGGGAGGAGTGTACATGCATAAAGAAGGCCAGGTGTGGCCAGCAAGTGGGGTTTGGAGACTTGCAGAGCCAATCAGAGCTCAAAAGCAGCCTTCTGCTCTATCACCTTGGCTTCACTAATGTGAGTTTCGCTTCAAACATGTCAGAATGTAGAAGCACAATGCCATCTTCAGGACCTGGAAAGTGATGCACAGGCACACCAATCCAGTGTTTAGCGATGCTGGTGCCATTTTATTCCACCGTCATGCTGGCCATTCAAAGAGAAGGCCATCAAGAAGTCCCAAGGCTCCATCATCTTCAAATCTAGCACCTAAAGCCAAGTGACTTCATACACATGAATAGGATGCTGCAGCTGGATAGATGGCTGCCCAGGAAATGACTTAACCTTTCCCAGTCTGGGAAGCCAGGCGTGGGCATGGCCAAGTCACTGTCTTACCCATGAGATGTAAAAGAGGCCATGTGGTGACTCTGGGTGGTTCCCCCGGGAAAGTGTATACCCTCTCCTTCACCTCAACTCTGTTCCTGCCATCCAGGATGAGTTTACAGTGATAAAACATTTGGATCAGACAATGGAGGCCAGGGAGAGCTATAAGACAGCAGGAACCTGGGTTTTCAACCCTGTAGAGCCCCTGACCTGGACTATTACTCAACCAAGAGCACGTACCTCTCATCCATGTCTTTGGGTCTCATGACAGCAGCGGAACCTCTCTCCACACTCATTCAATGCATTCTTTCACTTGCCCACGTGGCCAGTGAGTCTTTCATCCACCCCATTCATCACCCCAAATGTGCTGGCCTTCTGCCCGCTCCGTGGCCCTTCACCAGAGAACCCTGCTCCCCTCTAGAAGGGAGATTCAGGAAGTCAACCTCACTGAATATTGTTCAGAAGCCGCAAAAGTCCAACGTTGGCTCTTTTACAAATTTTTTATCTCAATAATTCCAGTTGAACTGAAGTGGACAAACCTAGAGCTGGTTACACAGAGTGAAATAAGAAAGAGAAAAACAAATATCGTATATTAATGCATATATACAGAATTTAGGAAAGTGGTAATGATGAACCTATTTGCAGATGTAGAGAATGAACTTGTGGACGCAGTGGGAGAAAGAGAGGGTAGGACAAATTGAGAGAGTAAGACCAACATACATACACTGCTGCTGCTGCTGCTGCTGCTGCTAAGTCGCTTCAGTCGTGTCCGACTCTGTGGACCCCATAGATGGCAGCCCACCAGGCTCCCCTGTCCCTAGGATACACACACGACCACGTGTGAAATAGACAGCTAGTGGGAAGCTGCTGTGTAACGCAGGGAGCTCAGCCTGGTGCTCTGTGATGACCTAGAGGGATGGGAGGGAGGATCAAGAGGGAGGAGATACATGCATACTTATGGTTGATTCCTCCCAAGTGGCACAGTGATAAAGAATCTGCCTGCCAATGCAGGAGATGCAAGAGGTGCGGGTTGGATTCCTGGGTTGGGGAGATCCATTGAAGTAAGAAATGGCAACCCACTCCAGTATTCTTGCCTGAAAAATTCCACGGACAGAGTAGCCCGGCAGGCTACAGTCCATGGGGTCACAGAGCCAAATACGACTGGTCGATCAAGCATGCACGCATGGCTGGTTCACCTCATTGTACAGGCAAAAACCAATACAACACTGTAAAGCAATTATCTTCCAATTAAAAACAAATAACACTGTATACCTAGGCGGGGATAGTCCAAGGTTTGAATGATGGGAACCAATTTTTATCATTTTTAATTAACTCTCTGCGGGCCAAACAAAAACATGTGGGGTGGCACTCAGCCTGCAAGTAAATGCCCATTTGCAACCTCTGAGAGCCATTAGGGGTCCCCAGCCACCCAACTGGTTTAAGGAAAAATACTTCCTGAACTGTCACTGGCCAGACAACAATCTTGTACTTTGTGTGGTGTTT